GTGATGTGATGCAGTGAAAACAATCTGTCTCAATATCAGCAAAACTAAAGAACTGATCATTGACTTCAGAACAAAAGGAGGAGAACACGCCCCCATCTACATTAACTGAACTGTGGTTGAGAGAGTGAAGAGCATTATGTTCTTCGGAGTGATGATGGCCAACAACCTGTCCTGAACCTCCCACGTAGATGCGACAGTCAAGAACGAACAACGATGCCCTTTTTCCCTCGGGCAGCTCAGGAAATTTGGCACGTCCATAAGAACCCTCCCCAACTTCTACAGATGCACCATTGAAAGCATACTGTGCAGGTGCGTAACAGCCTGGTATGGCAACTGCTCTGCCGAGGACTGTGAGAAACTACAGAAGGTGGTGTGCACAGCCCGGACAATCAAGGAAGTCAACCTTCCATCCATGGACTCCATTTACACGGCTCGCTGCCGCAGAAGGGCTGCCAACATCATCAAAGACCCATCGCACCCCGGTAATGATCTCCTACATCCTCTTCCATCAGGCAGAAGATACAGAAACCTGAACACATGCACCAACAAGTTCAGGAACAGCTTCTTCCCAGCTGTTATCAGACTGATGAATGGATGCTCTAGCCTTAAATAACACTGACCTTGCTAACATTGATCTCACCGAGTGCATGCCCTGTGCAATGTAGCCTGTACGCTTCTGTCTAAGTCATTTTGATCTGTACAACCTTTGCTTACTATGATCTGCCTGTACAGCTTGTAAACAAGGCTTTTCACTGTACGTCGGTACGCGTGACAATAAATCAATCAATCAATCAATAGGAGTCTAATGATGACCATGAATCCATTGTCAATTGTCAGAAAAGGCCCATCTGGTTCACTAATATCTATTAGGAAAAGAAACTGCCATTCTTTACCTGGTCTGGCCTACATGTGACTCCAGACCCGTAGCAATGTGATTAACACCTGGCTGCCCTCTGGGCATTTAGGGATGGTCTAGCCAGTGATATCCACATCCTGTGAATGAGTTTGAAAAAATTCCATTAAGATATTCAACTACCCCATTCTGCCTCATGAGCTTATCCAGCTTTCCCTTTTAAGACATCTTTACTATTTGCCTTGAACAGCCCTGTAAAAGCAGCTTTCATGTTCTCTTAGGGACGTATTGATTGAACAGCTGGCAGACATTATGTTCAATCTGTGGATAAATATCAGGCCAGCCATGTCTTATTGTAAAGAAATCTATATTTGACCAATGTTTTTGAAAAGAAATTATGGAAGAAAATCTCAAACATTGAAAACAGACTGAATTGAGTTAAAATTAGGGACCAGCAGTGAGTTTACTTGGAATTATTTTTAGTTATTGCTTTAATAGCAGATGTATGCATAACATGTACTTTAAGTCCCCAAATAAAATTGTGTTTGTGTTCCTGAAAAACAGCTTTAAGTGAAGCATGAGTCTTTTATTCATTCACAGATTGGGCACAGCCAGCAATGCCCCTGAGGCACAGATATTTATTGCCCATTCCCTGTTGCCCTAAAGAATGCGGAGGTGAGCTGCCACCTCAAATTGCTGCAGTCCTTGGGGTGCAGAGACACCCAAGGTGCCCTTAGGAAGGGAATTGCAGGATTTTGACCCAGTTACAGTGAAGGATAATGTGAGACATTGAGGGGAACTTGCACCTGTTCCCAAGTACCTGCTGCCCTGGGAGCCTTAGAGTTGTTGTAATGCATTTTTTAGCTGGTATACACTACAAACTGTCTGTGCCTGTGGTGGAGTTAGTGAATGTTGAAGGCGTTGGATGTGCTACCAATCTAATTGGCTGCTTTGTACTCTAGAGGGTCAAGCTTCTTGATTGTTGTTGAAGCTGCATTCATCCACACGTATAGCAAGTATTCCATCACATTCCTCTTGATACATCTTATAAATGGACAGGCTTTCAGGATTCAGGGTATAAGTTACTTCCAGCAGAATTTCTGCCTCTGATCTGATCTTGTAGCTAATGTATGTATATGGCTAGTTCAGTTCTGTTTCTGGTCAGTGGTAACCCTAGGGTGTTGATTGTGGGGGATTCAGTGATAACACAGTTGAATGCCAAGGGATGGTTGATTCTCTCTTGTTGGAGATGGTCATTGCTTGGCATTTTATTTGGTATGAATGTGTGGAGAGAAGAAGGCTGAGAGGAGACTGAAGAGGTTTTCAAAATCATGAGCAGTCCGGATACAGTAGATATGGAGAAGTTGCCCTGCTTATGAAAGGAACAAGAACGAAGGCAGATGTAAAGTGATTGAGAAAGTATTTTCAGTGATTAGTTAGGGTATGGAATGCAAGGCTGGGAAATGTGGTGGAGGCAGGTTCAATTGAGGCAGTCAAGAGGGCATTGCATGGTTACTTGGATAGAAAGAGTTTGGAAGGGTATGAGGGACAAAACCAGGAGATTGGCACTAGGTAATGCTCGCTTGAAGAGCTGGTGCAGGCATGATGGGCTGAATGGCCTCCTCCTACAAGGTAATAATCCTGTGCGTGTGAAGAATACATGCCACTTGTCAGCCCAAGCCTGAGTATTGTCCAGAACTCACTTCATGTGGACATGGACGTGGACGTCTCTGGTATCTGAGGAGTCACAAATGGTGTTGAACATTGTACAGTCACCAGCAGGTATCCCCATGTCTGACCTTGTGATGGTGGGAAGGTCATTGATGAAGCAGCTGATGATGGGCCTAGGACACTACCCTGAGGAATTCCTGCAGAGATGTCCTTAGGCTGAGATAAAAGATCTCCAACCACAACCCGTCTTTCTTTATTCCAGGTAATCCACCAATTAGTGGAGAGATTTTCTCCTGATTCCATTCCCTCTTTGGGTTCCTTCATGTTACACTTGGCCAAATGCTGCCTTGATGTCCAGGACAATCACCTGTTCTCTGTCTCTGGAATTCAGCTCCTTTGTCTATGTTTTAACCAAGGCTGTAATGAGGTCGGGAGCAGAGTGAGCCTGGCAGAAACCAAACTGAGTGTCAGTGAGCAGATTTTTGTGAATAAGTGCTGCTTTTCCACACACTCAAGCACATCTTCTATTAGTTACTTGTAAATTGAGAGTAGAACAATGGGTCAGTGTGAACTTGTTCACCTTGGCAGTAAGCAAAACGAAGCAGCAGGTTATTTAAATGGGGTGAGATTGCAGAACTGGAGCTACGGCAGGATCAGGAAGTGTTGGTACATGATTCACCAAGTTAGCCTTTGGCTGCAGCAAGTGGGAAGGCCTATGGCATGACGTTTTGTTACAGTTGTACAGGGCATTGAAAAGATCCCATCTGGAGGACTGTGGACAGATTTGGTCTCCTCTTAGAAAGAATATAGACAGTGTTAAAAGCAGTTCAGAGAAAGTTCGCTCAACTGATCTCCGTTAAAATTTTATCACTTTCTTTTCTAGTCTGTGTCGGTGATGGCAGCTTCCAGACGAGGGGTGATATGTTACTGGCCTAGTATGACCCATGAGGAGTCCTGCACAGAAATCGCTCTGGATCTTGGCAATGACTGGAAGTGTCTGACTGCTGTATCGGTGAGTCCCATTGCCAGGAGATATATGGAATAACGGAGTGAACTGTAAGGGTCTGTAACCTATAGCCATGTGACCTTATACTGGGGCACACAGCATTTCAACAGGCATTCAAATTCTGACTGAGCAAACAGTGGATGTTAGGTATTCTGTGTTTTTGAGTTGTCAAAGCTGAATGCAATATCACTGTAGCACCATATGTGAAATGTATTGGAACACTGGGCTTCTGTCTTCCTGTTTATCCACAAATTGCTTTGCTGAACAGATTTTGAATCTGTTGATCCCTACAGAATATGAAGGAGTCGACTTTGTACAACAAACTATTTTAATTCTGATTAGGAAAGCACATTATGACCGCCAAGAATGCATTGTGGTCTGAAGTAAATATCACCTACAACTCAAAATTCAACAGGTGAATTTGGACTATAGTTTGGCATTTGGAGATTTTGATGGAGTTTTTTTTTTTTGATGAATTCCTTGAATCTCATTTGGCTTTGCACTAAATCTGTTAAATGGACTGAAGCTAACCTTTGTATCTTTCTTTTTAGGGTGGTGGATTTATTCTCGCTTCTCAGAAGAACCAGTTGCTACGATTAACACCAGATGGTTCAGGCAAAGTGAGCTTCCGCCCTGTGCAGGAGGGACAGGGAATGCTATCAGGCCTTGGGCGCAGAGTCTCCTCACTCTTTGGCATTTTGACACCAACTGCTGATGTTGTGGTAAGACTTGAAGTTAGTTTGGTTCCCTGTGCGACTGCCTGATCTGTTGTTTTTACCCTTTAAATATTGAATATGTGAATATTTTAAATTGCTAACTAAGACCTATTATCTAGGAAGAAACTTCGTCCTTTGTCATTACAAGTTAAAATACAACGAATGTAAATTGTTGCTGTTGGCTTTGGTAAGAATTGTGGATCAATTTTATGGATTAATTTTCTTTTCTATGACAGCTGAGTTCTGTATTGTGGGATGTGGAAAACGAGTGTTTCTACACACTGACTAATTCGAGTCTGAATAAATGGGAAGTGGATGAGACATCAGAACGCCACATTTTCAGCTGGGACTTGAATAGATCAATGAAACGGGATCTGGGAGATTCTATCTGGGTAAGATGTGTTAGACAAATTTGGCTGTTTCCATTCACTTTGTAGAGTTTGAGGCATATGCCTGTAAAGAAGAACATATATTAATGAGATGCAATTTTTAGAAATGAGTTGATATAAATTTTGCCCCAGTGTCTGACCTATCAGTTTTCTTGTGATCTCTCTGGTAATTCTGTGCAGTCGTACTGTCTAATTTCCAGTCTGCAGGTTGGAATTTAATCCAAATTCAGTGGTTTTTGAAAGGTAAAACTGAATGCAAGTCCACTATATGATTTGGGGCAGGGGGTTATGGATTTTATTTGGAGGAAAAGGCAACTGCTCCCCTGGGACCTTTGCATGTCTTGTTGATGGGTCCCTAGCAGTTAGCTGCTGACTCAACACTTCAACTGTAGATAGTTACAGGAGAACAGAAAGGAGAAATATAACTGAAAATAGAAAGAAATTTTCACACTCTGACACTCCCCCTCAGAAGAAGTGAGGTTTTAACTTTTATGCTTTATTCTTCTGCAACATCTAGGGAGATGATGAAAATTATGAAGCCACTAAGTCTGCAATCAATATGAGATATCTGGACTTGCAGCTGAGCAAGTAGGTAGAATTTATCTTCTTATTGATACATTTACTGGGAACATTTCTGGTAAAATTAATTTCAATCCTTTACTTGTCCAACCTCTCCATCCCTACAGTGTAGCTAGTACGTAGAAAAATAACAGCAAGGTAATTCTCAGTAATAGCTTTGCTTGAGAAATGGCTAATCAATCCATTAAACCCTTGCCTTTGCAGACCTGGTGCATCATGCTAAATTGTCAACTTGACCAGTTGAATCCCCTCTGGGAGACAAAGACCCAAACCTGCAACTTGCAAACAGAATGGAATTTATCCTACTAGTTATGATGATCAAGTTGAGAATTCTGTTTTATGAGCATTACAAATTTATACACTTGTATATGAGTCATCTCTCCCTAGTTGTCTGTGTTGATAGAGTCAAAGCCAGTTGGAAAGATTGAAATTAAGGTGCACATTTCTTGTAGAGAGAAGTTGTTGACTGTCAGTCTTGCCCCTCTCATCCCTCATCCAGCGTTACAGGTGCTCCCTAAATGTATTTAGACAATGAATAACCACTACCCATTTCTTCTTAACGTTTAACAAATTTAACAATTTATGTGATTAACCAGGTATTTAACAGATTCTCATCTTTTCTCTACATTAAAATTTTTGATAACAGCTTATCCAAAACTAATCAAAGAAGAAAATAACCTGCATTTCATTTCCGTGTTGCATATTGCAATACAAACAACTATTATTAGAGGCCATATTCCCTGTTCTTTAAAGATAAAATCATTTTTTCACGTAGAAATAATTATAGAGCAATCAAAGAAAAGAAGTTCCCTATTCTTATAACACACTTTTCCATGGTCTCATCATGATATTCCATATTCTCATCATGACACAACACGAGATGTCTCTCTCAGACATTTAATAACATCTGGGGCAATTGTTTCTCTTTGTAAAACAGTCTGACAAATTGGTGAATTCTTCAACTCATTCTGTTTTAGAAATCTCTTCTTTCCAACATTTCCTTCATACTAGCAAAAGTTACTTCACAACCATTTCTCTGCTTCAGGAGATTGTCGTCCGCAGTGTTCAACAGGATTTTATTTTCTCAGATTGCCCTGTGTAAAAGACTTCCTTCAGAAGATTAGACAAATACACCTCTACCTATTGCTTCCACTAGTGCCAGTACTTTTCATTATACTTTTTTTCTCTTTTATTGGCTTCCCAGTCCAATGAACAATATTTTGTTTATACTTTTTGATGAACCCTGCCATAATGGAATATCCATCTGAAAAATTGGCATGTGGATCATCACTAACAAATGACTAACTTCAGTCTCCCAGGGCTGGAAAATTGAGAGCACATTTCTCTGAATTTAATTTATTTGATGTTCACATCCTCCCAGCACCACTTCAACTGCAGCATGTTTTAGCATGGTACTCTGTTCCAATAGGTTGTAACTGATATTGGGTCTAGCTGCACAACCAGTTCAACCAGCCAATCAAACTACTTCACTGTTCTGCTTGTAGTTTGGATACTTGTTTAGAAGGTTTCAAAACAGGAGTGAAAGATTAGATGGGTATCTAGTTTGAGATGTGAGGGAAGGTTAGAGATAGGATGGTGGTTTTAAATGACTGGGGACCAAAGCTTAGGAGAAGCTCAGGGTGTAGTCACTACCAGAGCGCAGCGGAAATAGAAGTTGGATGAGAAAGAGTTTTCTAGGTGTGGAAGGAGGGGGTTAGTGGAAGTGGTTAGTGATCGATGAAAAGATTGAGAGAGAGTTGGGATGTTCTGCAAAGGCAGCAACACCAAACAAATTCCCTTTCATCTTGGTTCCAAAACACCACCCTTTCTGTGAACTTGGTGCATGGGTTGAGAGTTGCATACAGCAAAATGGTTGGAGAAGAAGGTTGTATTTACATGAATGATGGAGTAGAAGACTTGGATTTAGGGAAGGAATTATGGTAAGTGTTAAATGCATGGAATCAGCAAAGTAGGAATGCAACGTGACCCATCTGTTGAAAATGCTGCCAATTCCAGTTAGCTGATCGAAGCTTGGTGGGGTTCTTACAGTATCCTAACAGATATCCTCTAATGCCATAATTTAGCTCAGATCTTTGTTAAGCAGTCCTTGGGGATCTTGTTTCCACTCTGGTGAGATGCATTCTGAAATGCTGGTAAGTCCAATGACCAATCTGCCAACTCTGACACGTGGGGCTGGCGATTCTCGAAGTGTTAGGCAGATGTGTGGTTTGGAGGATTGTACGTTCTCTCTGACGCCTCAGCTTCGCTTCTCCACGCTCCCAATGACATGTCTTAAAATATTAAGTGCCTTTCTGAGCACACCATCTCCATTTTGGTCAGTCACAAGTCATGGGCTCCCATAAAGTCAGCAAGAAATGAGTAACTTCTTCGCGAATGCTTTGAAGGTGTCCTGAAAGTGTTTTTGCTGTTCTCCTGGGAATCTCCTGCCTTAACTGAATTCCTAAATCAGCGCCATAAGTTCATCTCTTCCTATTTTGGAGGGTGGACGTTTCTCCCACTTGTTCTCTGCCTGTCTCTGTCTGTCTCGGGTATAGAGTGTGCTGGGGAATACATGAACTCGTACTTCTGGGTTGCACTGTCATGTAGCTGCCCTTCAGGGGATAATGAAAATGTTCTATAACCAAAGCCTTGGCTTTAGTTGGAATACTTTTGCAGATCAAGTACTGTTGTTTTATGCCATTCTTTCAACGGAGTATTGTTTTAAGTTTTAAATTCTACCATAAGATGCAGAAGCAGAGTTAGGCCATTCAGCCAATTGAGATTTCTCCGCCACTCAATGAGATCCTGGCTGATCTGATATCCCTCAACTCCACTTTGTTGCCTTTCCTCTGTAACCCTTGAGTCTCTTACTGAATAAAAATCTGTCTCTCACAGCCATGTTGCCTCTTTGTTTTCCAGAGAGGGTCTGGTGATTTTGACAGCAGCCTGGAGCCATACAGATTCTCCATGCTTAATCTACTATATTTTAACCACCTTGCAAGATAAAGGCTGTCACATATCTGATGAAATAAGAGTGGAGGTCACTGAGTATTGTCCACCATATCAGGTAAAACTTGGATACAGTATCTGCTTTTTGTGGAACTTGTATCATGGGGTGTAACTGAGGAGATTTGAATAAATGCATTTAAGGTGAAGCTAGATAAGTACAGGACAGGGAAAGGAATTGAATGTAGGATTAGGTCAAGTACAATAAAGGAAGAAAAACTGTGGAGGATAAATACCTAAATAGATCAGTGGAATGAAAGACTTGATTGTTGCTGTCCAATTCTACATAGTTGCTCTGAAGAGAGAATTTCTTTATTGAAAGTGTTACAAATGCATGCTATAATGTTGACTGGGTGCATTTTTTTGAAAACTCCATGCTTCAATTCATAGTTTAATTTGGTATGTCTCTTCGTGATTTACTTTATATAGCATGGAAATAATTAAACAATTTCTGTTTTCTATAACCTAACAAAGTAGAATATTTCAATTGTTCAACCTTAAAATCTGTAGCATCTGCAACATGGGTTTCCAAATAATGACTGGTGTTGCAGTGTGTAGCAGTGATGAACTGGGAGCACTGTTCAGAGTTACTGTTTGGTACCAATATAAACAGTTGTAATTGAGGGATTGGGAGTGGAGAGGTATAGGCCAGGTGCAGAAGTATTTGGATTGGTGGCCTAGAGTCTTGGGGAGAATGGAGATGTGCCCTGACTGAACATGCAGCTAATGTGGTGGGCTGTGGGGAGAGGCTGGATAAGCCGCGGTTGTTTGGAGCAGAGAAGGCTGAGAGGGGACTTGACTGAGGTGTATAAGATTGAGGTGCATGGAGAAAGTGGAATTAAAGCAACAGTTCCCCTTAGTTGAAGATTCCAGTAGCAAAAGGGCATAAGTTTAAAGTGAAAGGCAGGAGGTTTAGAGGGGATTTGAGGAAAATGTTGTTGACCAACAGGATGGTGAGAATCTGGAATGCTCTGCCTGCGAGGGTAGTTGAGGCAGGAACCATTTACAAAGTATTTGGATGAGCACTTGAAATCTTATAGCGTTAAGGCTACAGGCCATGTACTGGAAGTGGGACTAGTATAGATTTAGAATAGTTTTGTTTGTGCAGACTCAATGTATGATTTTATGAAATTGGGCTGCATATGAATATGTATTTGTTAGAATAGTGCTGCATGTCTTACCCCACATAATCTAACACTGGAGTTTCAAACAGGTCATGCTGATTATAACAATGGGAGGGCTTCAAGTATTTCGATAACTTTAGTGTGTCTTTCTGTTGAACTGACTCTGCTGATGGAAACAATTCTGAAGAAGAGTCATATTGGACTTGACATTAATTCTGTTTTTCTCTTTGCACAGAAGCTAATGGACATGGTGAATTTCTGCAGCATTCTGTCTGTTTGTGTTTGTTTCTGTCATTTAACTTTAACAACTCCATTTCAGACGGATGAGCTACCATGTCAGCGATTCTTGATTCCAGATTTTGCAAGCCCGGCTGCTTATCTCTATACATACGATTTGGTATTTGCATGCTGCACAGGTACAGCAAGAGCCCGTTTGCCCCAGGAGAAACTTATCCTAAATATGCCAGGTATGCAATCACAAAACTTTACTCACCAGCTGGTTGTTAAATATTTTCAGGCGCACTGGTTTTAAATTGACGAGTTGTTTGGAAGTGTCATGGATGTAGGATGTCAAATTCACCGAGGGCACTGTTGTGTATGAGGAGTTTTATTCACTGGTTGCTGCACACTGTTTCATGTTTTTGTTAGATAGGTCACTGCTATTGTAAACTGCTGTTGACACACAATCTTTCCCTAAGAGTACAGATCAGATTTGGGCAGTGCAAGATGTTAAGACCAGAAATTGGGGGGAGGCAGTGGCTTAGTGACATTATTGCTGGACTGTTAATCCAGACAGCGGACCTAGGTTCAAATCTTGCCATGGCAGATGCTGGAATTTGAATTGAACTTTTTTTAAAAAAAAAGCTGTGGAATTAAGAATCTAATGATGACCATGAATCTGTTGCTGATTGAACCAGATGGGTTTTCCCCAACACTCATCCTTTAGGGAGGGAAACTGCCATCCTTACTCGCATCCTTACCCTGGCCTTATATGTGACTCCAGACCCACAGCATTGCGGTTGACTCTTAACTGCCCTCTGGGCAATTAGGGATGGGCAGTAGATGCTGCCTGGCCAGCGATGCCCTCATCCCGTGAATGATTTTTTTTTTTTAAAATCCAGTGTCCAGCACAAAAACTGAATAGGATAACCCCACTCCCAATAAGAGATTAATTTAAATTGATTTCTGAAACATTACTGTTTATCAAAATGTTAAAACAGAGGGGAGGTGAAAGTGACTTCCTTTGACATCAAGACCACATTTGACTGAGTGTGGCACCAAGGGGCCTGAGCAAAACTAGAATCAATGCAAGTCGAGGAAAACTGTCCACTGGTTGGAGTCATACCTGGCATATAAGAAGATGGTTCCGTTGAAGGTCAATCACCTCAGCTCCAGGACATCACTGCAGGAGTTCCTTAGGGTATGTCCAAGGCCCAACAATCTTCAGCTGCTTCATCAATAACCTTCCCTCCATCGTAAGGTCACGTGGGGTTGTTCGCTGATGATTGCATAATGTTTAGCACCATTCATAACAACTCTGATTCTGAAGCAGCCCGTATTCAAATGCAGCAAAATTTCGGCAATATCCATGTTTGCACTGAAGTGGCAAGTTACTTTTGTGCCACACAAATATCAGCCAATGACCACTGAGAATCTAACCATTGTCCCTTGCCATTGAATAGTGTTACCCACTGTCAATATTCTGAGGGTTACCATTGAACAGAAACTGAACTGGACTAACCATATAAACTACAGTGGCTACAAGATCAGATCAAAGGCTAGCAATCCTGTAGCAAGTGACTCATCTCCTGACTGTCCAAAGTCTGCCTGCATTACAGCTACAAGTCAGGAGTGTGACGGAAGAATCTCTTCTAGCTTGTATTAGTGCAGCTCCAACAACACTTGAAGCTTGATACCATCCAAGACAAAGCAGCCCGCTTGATTGGCATCACCGCTGCAAACATTCTCTCTCCACCACTGGCGCACAGCAGCTGTGTACCATCTACAAGATGCACTGCAGAATCTCATGATGACCTCTACTTACTAGAAGGGCAAGACAGTTGAGACATGGGAATGCCTGTGTCTGGTAGTTCCTGTTCAAGGCACGCACTATTTGACCTGGAACCATTCCGTTGTTCTTCACTGCAGTTGGAAGTACCGTTTGCTGTGCCTTCCCTCGTTTCTCTGGAATTTCTTCCTGAACCCCTCTATTGCACTTGGTCTTTTAAAACTTATTTCTTGGATCAAGGGTTTGATCACCTGCTCTAATATCTGCTCGGATGGCTTGATGTAAAATCTTGCACAGCAACAAGTGACTTACATTAATGATGCCATATACAAAATTGTTGATAACCCATCAGTTTCTGCATTAGTTGTTGAATGTTCTTACTAATTTTGCAGGTGATGGTATCCTGGGAGCTGGAAGTTTTACCGGATTGCCTGTCCTCTTCTGCAGGAACAGTGGTTTGGTTGTTGCTCGCCCCAAGGAAAGTGTGTCAATGTTGCCTGAAAATATTGAAGATTCTCTGGCCTTAGCAGCATCTGAGGTAGTGGTGCAGAGTTCTGTTGTATATCAACTATGATGGAATATCTAAAATGAAAATGGAGAATGCTAGATATACTTAGATCAAATAGCATCTTCAGAAAGAAACAGAAGTAAAGTTGCAGATCAATGAACTTTTATCAGAACTGACTGAACTGAATTGGAATATCACACATTTGGCAATTCCTTCAGTTGCCTTTTTGGAGGCTGAGTGGGGAAATGAGGTGCCTCCTGCACTAGATCTCATTGACAATGTTGATCTGATGTCCATGCTGAGGGACTTCATTCCTAATCTGACCTCAACTGGTCCATTAGATTCTGCTGAATTTGAAAAAGGCTGAAGCCACTAACCTCTGTTGTGTTACTGATGAGTTGAGAGTATTTTATGCAACGTGTGGCCCATGTTTCTGTAGGTTTTTTTTAGTTATTTTCATAATCAACCTGTTCCGAGATGTTGTTACACACCTCTGGCACAGGTGGGACTTGAACCCAAGTGTGCTAGGGACACTGCCACTGAGCCACAAGAGGCCAAACCCCACGATTTTGCACACCTTCAGTGTGGATTGGTACCAGGTGCCTGACTATTAACTGCGCTTGCCCAAAATGACTGACTTAACTTGAAATGATTTCTCCGTAGATTTTCAAGACTTTGAATGGGAAAGTTGGTGTCCCTCACAAAATCATCACAAAGCCAAAGTGGACAGCACCAAGAGCCATTCTGTTAGTGGGTTTGAGCTTCCCTTACACTGACCTCATGGTGGCATTTAGCTACAGGATCATGAGGCATTCTCCATGGTGTTTCGGATCCTTTCTGGACCAGCTTCACCCTATTCTGTTGTATAATGGAGCACACTGCACCACTACCATCTGAGCCAATTTTGTGTATGATATGTGGTATGCCCACCAGGGAATGTCATGTGTGGTCATCAATCTCATAGACTTCTAGCACAAAAGGAAGCCGTTTGGCCCATTGTGTCTGCAGTAGTCAACAAAAATTTGACTGTATTAATCCCATTTTGCAACTCTTGCCCATAGTCTTGGAGGATACGGCAACATAAGTGAATATCTAAGTACTGCTAAAATGTTTCAAGAGTCTCTGACTTTACCACCTTTACAGGCAGCAAAAGTTCCATCCTATTTGTTAAAAAGGCTCTCCTCAAATTTTCCCTTAATCTTTTACGTGTTATTGACCCCGTTACTAATGGAAAAAAGTGCCTTCCTATCTGCTGTACTTATACCCCTCACAATCTTGTACTCCTCTGTCAGGTTCCCTTTAATTGCTCCAAGGAAAACTGTCCCACCTTATTCAATCTTTCACATTAACTCCGACCCTCCAGCCCAGTCAGCATCCCGGTTAATCTCCTCTGCACCCTCTCGTGCAGTTACATCCTTCCTGTAATGAATGACATGTCCCAAATTGCAAGAATAACTTTTTAGAAACCTGAAGTGATGTCAACTTGGTATCAAGGTAGAAAATTTGACAGTGGATAAAATTGTAGACAACTAAGTTAAAACACAGAAAACAAAAATTCTGGAATGACCTTTTTTTACCGTTACACTTTGTAGTGCACAGGACACATTCCAGGCACCGATCTTCCAGGTGCTAATGCTTGTTTGCGTTTGTTGTGGTTAATTACTGAGGTTTCATGGGTGATTCAGTTAAAGTTGGGTCTCTTTCTCAGAGTGATGCCAGGCAACCATTTGAAAGAGCAGAGATGGAGGCACAGGAGGATAAAACTAAGATGTTGAAGACTGCCTTTGTGATGTATTGCAGGTATGACCAGGTGGTGGGAATCTCCGTGCTTAATGAGGTTGGTTTCTGATTGACTGTAGAATGCACAGGGCAGATTCACCAGAACGCTCCTCCTGACATGAAGAACGTCAAATTACAAGCACGGATTGCAAAAACATTGTCCTGTTTTCCTTATAGTTCAGAGGGTTGGCAATCTAAAATGTTTACGGGATTTAGTGGGTGGATTCAGAGTAACTGTTTCCTCAGATTCAGAAATCTGGAGGGTGGAGATAAATCTTCACAGTGAAACAATGAACTGCAGATGCCAGAAATCAAACAAAAACAGAAATCAAAGTCGTAGAGCGGACTCTAAACATTACCTCTGCTTTCTCTCCACAGATGCTGCCACACCTGCAATTTCTGTTTCTGTTTCTGTAAATTACAGTTAGGTCGTTGAGGAAGTGTTTTTTCACACAAAGGGTGGGGTAAAACATGCCACAATCACCAGACAGGCTATGGACAGGAGAGATCAATTGGAGTTTATCGAAATTTAAATCAATGAATTTTCTTTAAGTTAGAAAGTCTGGGAGTATGGAGTTGTGGGATGGATCAGTTATGTTTTAATTGCATATTGGAACAGCCTTGATAGGCTGAATGCCCTCCTGTTCTTCTGTACTTAATATTTTTACAATGTTAGTTAGGCTTTTGATTTTGGTCTGCAGCAGATCACCTGTGACAACCTTGTTAGTGAAATACAGAGTTGGCTCTTAAAAATAAAAAGAATCAAATCTATGTAATCATTGCTCATCCACTTTAGTGTGAAATTTGAGTTACTCTGATCGTTTTAACTTCCAGAAAGGATATCCTTGGTGCCCAGAACATGTTGGAGGAAATCTTCCCCGACAGCGTTGACACAGGACCAGACTCTGACCTGGACATGGCTGTGGCACAGATCAGTCTCGATCTAATTAATGACTATCCTGCTTGTGACCCACGCTGGGCTGAGTCTGTACCAAGTGGTAAGACTTTTTATTGGAAACCTGCACCACCAGTTTCTTTGGAGTGGTCTGTTTATTGGATACGTGGAAATGACTATGTGCACTGAGAAGTTGATTTTCAAGCAAAAGCTACTTTCCAGCCTACCCTTCATTTCCCCTGCTCTTGTACCACCCCCTCTGTTGCTGTTTGATCACACTTGATAAACTGCTCATTGTTGCTTTGCTTTTATTTGCTAACTAATAGCTGGTTACTGACCCCATGTGAACTTCTCGGATTATTGTCATTGTGATCCATATAATGCAGCTTCTGATAGGTTGTTGCAGCCTTCAATATTTCTCCATCAGTGTAGAACCCCCGGTATCTGAAGCTAGAAGAGAAGCTTTGTCAGCACAGTACCATGATCTTGGATAAACTTCCAAATGGTATGAATGTGTTCATCATTAACCTCTACACCAGCACCCCCTGAAAAAAATAAACGGCTCAAGCCAAAGTACCAGTCTGTGTACAATTACATCTCTTTTTAAAGTAGATAGTGTTTCCATTTTTGTTGTAAGTGAATTCCAGTTCCTTTGTGAAACATGTGTTTATGGGTTTGAATTGGTAAACGTATCATCCTGATTTAGCAACAGAACTTCTAGCCCATATATTTCTGTTCCTCTGCCCTCAGGAAAGAATGGCTACCATAAAGGGGAAAAGCAAATTTTCCCACTGTTATAACTATCTTCTGCAAATTAAAAATCTTGTACATTGATAAGGCAGCTCTTCCTTACCTTGCCGAAGAAGTCCTATTTGACTCATTAACTCTGTTTCTTTCTCCGTAGATACTGCCAGACCTATTGAGTTTCTCCAGAAATTTGTTTTTATTTCAGCTCTTTTTCTGAGTGTTGATGTATTAGGTTACATATAAACAGTCGATGCTTCATGACTGATGTGTGGAATTGACAAGTTCAGTCAATGGAAACAAATGTGATCAATTCCAATCATCAAACTTGGCATTTTCTGAGGAAGGTTCGGACCTGAAACGTCAGCTTTCCTGCTGCTCTGATGCTGCCTGGCCTGCTGTGTTCCTCCGGCTCCACACTGTGTTATCTCTGACTCCAGCATCGGCAGTTTATAGAATCCCTACAGTGTGGAAACAGGCCCTTCCGCCCAACAAGTCCACATCGACCACAGAGCATCCTACCCAGACCCATTCCCCTATAAACCCACCTAATCTACAAATCCGTAGACACCATGGCCACTCCACCTAACCTGCACATCTTTGTGACTGTGGGAGGAAACCGGAGCACCTGGAGGAACTCCACGCAGACGTGGGGAGAATGTGCAAACTCCACACAGACAGTCGCCCGAGGGTGGAATTGAACCTGGGTCCCTGGCGCTATGAGGCAGCAGTGCTAACCACTGAGCCACCGTGCCACCCCAGTTCTTACTATCTCTGATTGAACTTGGCAAACTTTTTTTTACCTTGAATTTTTTGGGAGAGTGTTGAGTACTCCTATGTAGAAGAGTTCTTTTGAAACCATGGCTGTAACGTAATTGGTTATGGGCATTGGTTAACTTTGAGATTGTTGCAGTGTATTGGAGAAGTATAATTGAAGAGCTATATGAATGTTGTGTTCTCTTCGCAGATGTAAGTAGGTTTAGCAATACCTCCCTGTTGCTGCTTCACCAGCTTGAAGATAAGATGAAAGCCCATTACTGTCTGATGGAGTTTCTTCAGGATGTAAGTTTTAATTAAAACAAAGAAGAGCTTGCTTTTATAGAGTGTCCAGATGCTCCACAACCTTTCACAGCTGTTAAGTACTTTGAGGTCCAGCCACCGTCACATGAACAAGTACGAAACAGATGTCTGCACAGCAGAATCCCACAAACGTAAAGCAGGGCTAATGACCCGATCTATTGGTGGTCATGGGAGGATGTAGGTCAGGAATCTTGCATCGCTTCTCTTTCATATGATGCCCTTAAAGTCTTTGCTCGGACATGGTCTTATTCAATAAGTTTCAGCAGCAAACCACCTGAATTCAAGTGCCAGGTTTGAAACTTGTTTCTGTAAAACATCAGAGACAAATTCCTACCAGACCTTTGGCCATATGTTGTTGTGCAAGTTTGAATTTGAAAAGAAAGCAAACTTCTACTGGTCATGTCTAGACCACACCTGGCTTCTCCCCCTGGCGATGTCCACTGCCATCCCCCAGTGAAAAGAAGAGAAGTAAGAAAAGCATGTTTCCATGGGCCTAATAGAACATAGAATAATTTGCTGCAAGAGGCTATTGTGATAGAGACTGATGCATCATTTAATCAGGAATTGGATAAGTAAAGACAAAGCATATAAAATGATATGGGGATTAGGACATGTGATTAATTAGAGTCAGTTGAAAAACTGGTATTAGCAGAGATATGATGGGCTGAATTATTTTTACTGTGATACTTTGTTAAAGAATGACTGGACCTCAGGTAAACTTTATTTAGCATCAAATATGTTAAATTGCTGTGGATTTTTAAAAATTCTAGGTGGAGCTACTAAGTCGCCTTGACACTGTTCTGGTGCACGGGATCCCTATGGCTACCCGTCTCTTGCTGTGTGAACATGCTGAGAAACTCTCTGCTGCCATTGTTCTGAAGAATCATCACACCAAGCTTCCTGAAGTTGTAAATGCTGCCATTAACTGTGCTCTGAGTAAAAGGAATGAGGGCATTCCTCAGAATCTGACCCCAGCTGATATTTTCTTCCGGGAGGTATGAGTTTCACTTTAACTTGCAGTGTTTAGAGGATGTGAAATATTTCACTGGGATGGTTTATACCGTTGAGGAAAACAATGCATTGACTTTTTTAAGGCAAAATTTGTATGTTTCTTTTCAAATTTGTATTAGAAAGTTTGGGAAGCTAAAGCTCTTTTGCATTATACACACTTGGATATTACTGAGAATAGACATATGGTCACAGCTTTTCATCTTGCTGTCATCAGGATAGATACAAGAAAACCATCTTTCAAAGGGAACAACAATTTATAGTACACCAAACTTTGTTTTAACTGGCACCGTATGAACCAGTACACTCGATAAACCAACAAAAATTATCTCCCTCAAATACCATGAAGTGTACTGCATTATTCTGTCCAATTATTAGTTTTTTAAATATACTTGTTGTTCAATCAAATGGCCACACTAAATATCAACAGTTGATTCAATTTCAAGTAAATTTCTCCTCAAATACTGTGATCTACTGTGATGTCCAAGTAGTCAGTTGAGGGTGCAAGTGAGAAGGCTCTCTGCCGGTAAGTTTTATTTAAGGCAAAGTTGCATCATTATTTAAACGATTTATGTTGCTGGAGCATAACAGTGATGTGTATATTCCCTGCATTACGTTTCTATTACTTAATGTGTGTGGACCTCTTGATTGTATATGATCAACCAGCACACTCCTGGTCCCTGCTAAAAGTGCCAGTTAATAAAAAGTTTGCTGTATGTGAGGAAAGGACAATGATTGATTGGTTGGTAAGTCACCTCTGGCTGAGATTTTGCCAGCAAGAAAGCACCATGGTGCCAGTTCAGCACCTTTATCTGCTGCAGTACAAATTATTGCTCCTTTTGAAATTTAGCATTCTCTGATTTGTCCTGATGAGTACAAGTTGATACTCCTGTGCCACCAATTGTCTATTTATTACAGACACTGTAAACTGAATCATGACTTGTCTTACTCAGTTATTTGAGATTTCAGGGAATTTGTGTTAATTTTCTGGACCTTTTCTGAATCTTGAAGCTTACACTTATTTACTTTTAATTTTAAGTGACTACCTAATTGACAGAAAACCCCACTAATAGATGTAAATCCTAAATCTGCCAACCATGCCATGCTCTTTATTAACCAATGAAGTAATGATTTTTTTTTTGCTATTTGTATGTATTCCTTCTGAAAACATATTATTGTTCCATTGCATTTGTTTTGAACTTAAACCTTTAGGAATACAGATGGGAAATGCTGCTCTAGGATCCAGGAGACTGTCTTTGGATGCCTCGCATGTATTTTTTAGTTGTAGAGAAAGAGGGGATGTGTCTTTTGATTTTATTGTTGGTCAGACATTCTTCTTTGTGTTTCTTCTTCTCTCAGACAGCTTGTTGTAAGTTGTTGCTTTATTTTCCCAGCCTGTGAAATGTGCTGAGGCTGCAAGAGGCCAGTGAATATAAGTTCCATTTGCTTTACTTTACCCATCCTTGATTTAAATGGTAACAATAGTTTATTCGTAGGATTGGGGTGTGAACTGTTGACAGTTGGTGAATTGCCTATCTCAGCCATGCTTATCCATAATGAAACCACATTTACACCCCTTCTCTGGACAGGTCTCCCAGATTGATACTGCATTCGAATGTTTGCTAGAAGAAGAAGAACAATTTTTGGAGGAGAACCACCCACTCTCTCTGGAATGGGCACAGATGGTTATTAATGTTAACAATATCTTGAAGGTAAAGCATCCTGAGAATTTTCGTATTTGAATCAATAAGTTAATGTAGCCAGTTTAAACGGTGAGGAAATATTTTGTCTGATTTCCTTTGGAAACAAAGCTAAGGAGGGACCAATTGAAGAAAAGAGAGTTGCCCTGAACTTGAGGCAAGGCTGAAATTACATCGACATTGAGGTCCTCATGGATCACCTAATATATTCATAGTCATACAACCACAGAAAACAGGCCCTTCGGCCCAACTCGTCCATGCCGACCAGGTTTCCGAAAATAAACTAGTCCCATTTGCCTGCGTTTGGCCCATATCCCTCTGAACCTTTACTATAAGGAAGTGTCATACTGTTTGTCTCCACCTTCCTTAACGTAGCCAGTTATTTCTCAGCTGTTGGTATTCTATTCCTGTGTTACCCACTTGGAAACGTGGAGCAAGTTGGCCTCTGACCCTGTGTATGTAGTACAAGCTGTCAGCTGGCTAGGAGAAGGTGGAGAACCAATTTGGTTTTGGCTTCTCCTATTGCTCCTCCCCACTTCCTAAACAAAATATTCTACTTTCAATCTGTAACCTGCATCATAACCTGAAAAGTGAAAATTCATTTCACAGATTAGGACCCCACTTCTATACATTGCTGTCCCAGCACTGTAACCATCAGTGGGTCTACTGTTGTTAGAACAGTCGCAGTGGTGTGGGGAAAGTACCTCTCTCGAGTGCAGACCTGTTGGTGTCCTTGGAACCATAACCCAGGAGCACATTCGTAGAGGCAGCATTGGGCAGGTTGTGTTTACCTGTTTGAGTTGGAATTCTTTCACAATTGCATTCTTTTCAAAAATGTCCACCAGTCCAAATCTGGTTGGCATCTTGAGTTCCTGTTCTACAATGCTTTGCTCATAGTTGGTCCATCAGCTACCAGAAGCGTTAACAGAAACAGCTGTTTGATTGAGAAACCAAGGTGTAGAGCTGGATGAACACAGCAGGCCAAGCAGCACCAGAGGAGCAGGAAGGCTGACGTTTCGGGCCTAGACTCTTCTTCAGAAAATTGAGAAAATGGTTTTGCCACTTCCTTGTCCAAAAAGGCCAATAGCCTAATTGTGGACTGTATGTAAGAGTTAACGCTGTTGAATCAGTGAGCTACAAGTCCAGACTCCTCATGATTTTCAACACCTAAATCAAATCTCTCTGCCTTCTAAGGAGAGTAGCTACAGTTTCTCTAATTTATTGATGTAACTGAGTCACTTATCCCTTGTGCCATTTTGTAAATATTTTCTGTACACTTTAATAATGCCTTTGCATCGTTCCTAAAATGTGGTGCCCAGAATGAGACGCAGTCCTCCAGTTGAGAACTAACCAGTGTCTTTGAAGGTAAACCCTAACTTCCTTGCTTTCATACTCTGTTTGTTTATTTATAAAGCCTGAGATTCCATATCTTCACAAACTGTCTCTCTCTCATTGATGTGCAGGATATGTTGCATGCAGCTGTCCACCATCGACACAATAAGAGCTCACTTTATAAGTCACAAGAAGAGACTGAGCATGAACCAGAATACATTCCCTGGACAGGTGAGGGAGGGCTGTGTTGCTGATGAGATAATTTCAATGGATGTTTCCAAAGATGCAGTAGATTTCAGAAGGACACCAGTGGTGCAGTGATAAACTTCCTCCCTCTGGTTTGGGTTCCCATCCTTCCTACTCCAGAGCTGTGCCATAACATGTCTGAACAAGTTAATTAAAATATCTACATTGGATTTCAGTGGTTCAGCCTGAAATGGCTGTCCTGCTTTCTAAAGTAGAACTGATTTTTAGATGGCTGCAGCGGTTGATAGCTATCCATAGTAATAGTGTTGTCAAACCAAGTCTACACACACCACACAAGGGGTGGTTTGTGTGGGTTTTGCAGATTTCCTGAGGAATTTTCTCATTAGCTACCTTGAATTGTCACTTTACCAGTAACTAATGAGTATCCCTCCAAGCCAGACACCGTCCTGACTTGGAACTAGATTGCCATTCTTTCACTGTTGCTGGGTCAAAATCCTGGAACACTCTCTCCCTAACAGCATTATCGGTTTTTGTATGTCATTGATAAGGCCATTATTGGAGTACTGCGTTCAGTTCTGGTCTCCCTGCTATAGCAAGGATGTTGTAAAGCTTGAAAGGGTTCAGAAACGATTTACAAGGATGTTGCCAGGGTTGGAGGGTTTGAGCTATAGGGGAGGCTGAATAGGCTGGGGCTATTTTCCCTGGAGTGTCGGAGGCTGAGGTGTGACCTTATAGAGGTTTATAAAATCATGAAGGGCATGGATGGGTTGAATAGACAAGGTCTTTTCCCCGGGGGTGGGGGAGTCCAGACCTAGAGGGCAGGGTTTCAGGTGAGAGGGGAAAGACATGAAAGGGAGCTATGGGGCAACTTTTTCACACGGAGGGTGGTGCATGTATAGAATGAGCTGCCAGAGGAAATGGTGGAGGGTGGTACAATTACAACATTGATTGGGCACCTGGAGGAGTATATGAATAGGAGGGATTTAGAGGGATATGGGCCAAATGCAGGCAAACGGGACTAGATTTATTTAGGATATCTGGTCAGCATGGATGAGTTGGACTGAAGGGTCTGTTTCTATGCTGTCCAGCTCTATCACTCTATGTGGACTGCAGTGGTTCCACAAGGCAGCTCACACCAACTTGTTGCTCCAACCAGCGATACCCTCTTCTCAGGGTTTGAGTTATAAAAATAGGATGGAAAGGCTGGGACATTTTTTTCCCACCTGGAGTATAAGAGCTTGAGGTGTGACCTTTTTGAAGGTTTATGAAGTCATGGGTGGAATAAATAAGGTGAATAGCAAGTTCCTTTTCCTAGGGTCGGGGAGTTCAAAATTAGGGGACATACTTTTAAGGTGAGAGGAGAAAGTTTTTAAAAAGGACATGAGGGGCAACTTTTTTTACATAGAAAGTGGTTCATGTGTGGAATGATCTGCTAGAGGAAGTGATGGATGCAGGTACAGTTAGAACATTTAAAAGACATTTGGATAAATACATGAATAGGAAAAGTTTGGAGAGATGTGGGCCAAACACAGGCAAGTGGGACTCGTTTAATTTGGGAACACAGTCAGCGTGGACTAGTTGGACCAAAGGGTCTGTTTCCATGCTGTATGACTCTATTTTAAAAAAATGTCAAAGTTATGATCTGGATCATGTGCCCTGCAAGCTGTGGAAGCAGGTTCAACAAAAGCTTTTAGAAAAAAATAGCATAGATACTTGAGGAAAGAATTGCAGGCCTGTGTGAAAAGCTCAGGGGTTGGGGACTAATTGGAGAACTCTTACAAAGGGCTAGGTTTTATTGGTAGAGGGATTGAGTTTCGGAGCCATGAGGTCATGTTGCAGCTGTACAAAACTCTGGTGCGGCCGCACTTGGAGTATTGCGTACAGGTCTGGTCACCGCATTATAGGAAGGATGTGGAAGCATTGGAAAGGGTGCAGAGGAGATTTACCAGGATGTTGCCTGGTATGGAGGGAAGGTCTTATGAGGAAAGGCTGAGGGTCTTGAGGCTGTTTTCGTTAGAGAGAAGAAGGTTAAGAGGTGACTTAATAGAGACATACAAGATGATCAGAGGATTAGATAGGGTGGACAGTGGGAGCCTTTTTCCTCGGATGGTGATGGCTAGCACGAGGGGACATAGCTTTAAATTGAGGGGTGATAGATATAGGACAGATGTCAGAGGTAGGTTCTTCACTTGGAGAGTAGTAAGGGCGTGGAATGCCCTGCCTGCAAAAATAGTAGACTCGCCCACTTTAAGGGCATTTAAATGGTCATTGGATAAACATATGGATGATAATGGAATAGTTTAGGTTAGATGGGCTTCAGATTGGTTTCACAGGTCGGCGCAACATCGCGGGCCGAAGGGCCTGTACTGTGCTGTAATGTTCTATGTTCTATGTTCTAGTACGGATACAATGGATGGAATGGCTGCATAATTGTGTGATTATATGAACATTAATTCTGCTTGGAGCAGGTAATCATGGCACTGCTGTTAACAATTCAGCTGTCACTTGTAATCCAGTGTCCAAATGATTTGTCCTGTGATTTAAGTTGTTAGCGTTTTTGTCTCAATAACTTTTTGTTTATTCTTCACTTTTTAAAGCATCCAGTGGGCCATCAGGTGTGAGGTGTGTGATTTTACGGCAAACTGATGTTGTTCTGACCAAGGTGTACCCACAAGTCGACACTACTTTACGCAGTGCCCTTCTCGAACAAGTGGTGGTGCTGATTGATTTCTATCTGGATGGATATGTTTGTCAACTCAAGTCAGTGGACAGGCCCAATCAACAGGAAAGATACAATAAACTAGATTTGGAATACACCCAGAAACGCACTCATCTTCTGACACAACTACGTAAGTATAACAGTCCATTTTTCCAAAGTTTTTGTAAGCTTGGAGAAGCTGAGGATTTTTTCCTTGGAGAAGAGAAAGTTGAGAAAAGATTTGATGACATGGCATTCAAAACCATGATGGAGATTCAAGACAGAATAGAGGGGATGTTGATTTAAAGCGAATGGCAATAGAAGCAGCAATGATGTGAAGAAGGTCTTCATCACGCAACAAGTGTTTAGGATTTGGAATATGTGACCTGAGGGCATGGTGGAGGCAAATCCAATCATGGCTTTTGAAAGGGATTTTGATTGTTGTCTGGAGAAGGAACAGTTTTCAGGGTTACTGGGAAAAGGGAAGGAAGTGGGCCAGTCTGAGGATTTCATGCAGAAAGCTGACGTGGACGTGATTAGGCAATTGACCCCCTTCCTTACACCTGGTATTATGTAATGAGAAGGGCTTTAAGGATTAATATTTGTGTTGAGAGCTGTTGAGGATGTTACTAGCAGAGTAGCTAATTGGGAGGGTGTGAAGGTGGTATGTTTGGAATTTCAGAAGCTTTTGATCAGGTGACGCACCGGAGATTAGTGAACAGAATTAAAGCACGAGGAGTTGAGGGTAATATACTAACACAGACTGAGATTGATGAAAGCACAGAGAAGAATAAATGTATCATTCTCACAGTTGGCAGGCTGTGACCAGAGGAGTACTGCAAGGATCAGTGCTTTGGGCCCAGCTGTTTCCAATCTGTATCAGTGATTTGGGTTCAGGGATTAAATGTAATATTTCCAAGTTTGTGGATGACAGAAAACTGGGTGAGTTATGAGGGAGATGCAAAGAGGCTTCAAGGGGATGAAGACTGAGTGAGTTGGCAAGAGCATGGCAGGTAGAATATAATGTGGATAAGTGTGAGGTTATCCACTTTGGGAAGATGATCAAAGGTGCAGAGTATTTCTTCATGGTGAAAGATTGTAAAGTATTGATGTTCAAATGCAAGTCAGTGTCCTTGTTCATAAGTCACTGAAAACTAATTTGCAGGTGCAGCAAGGAATTCGGAAGGCAAACAATACGTTAAGTTTATTACAAGAGGATTTGAGTACAGGAGAAAAAAAAAGTCCTGTTTCAATCATACAGAGCACTGATGAGACCACACTTGAGTAGTGAGAGCAGTTCTGGTCCCCTTCTCCAAGGAAGGAAATACTTGACATAGAGGGAGTGCAGTGAAAGTTTGCCAGAGTTTGTCTCCACCTTCGCTGCGTTACTTGTACCCAGTCATGGAGAGGTCTGTGACATCATTGCACAGTTACTCCTGGGTCCCAGAGTCCTTGCAAGACAATAATGTGGGGAAAGTGTGATTTGTTCAAGAAGTTTGAAGTAATCTGATCTGTGAGCCAAAGGTATTGTTTGAGAAATTTGACCTTTTTAATGTTTATTCTTCTAGTTTCTCTTGGACAGTACCAGTTGACTGCTTCACTGGCAGAAAAATATTGTGACTTCGACATCCTGATACAACTGTGTGAACAGACTGACAACCAGACCAGACTGCAGCGGTACCTGAACCAGTTTGCAG